ACTAGCGGCCCGTCCCGGCTTCGCACGGGGGGACTTAAGATTTTTTACATAGTTTTACGTTTTATTTATATTTATTCTCAGTTTATTATTTTTGAAATAGTAGGTAAGTACTTACCTAATAGGTATCTTTTGGATGAATTAATAGTCTTAAGGTAACCGATTGAACAATTCAAAAGTTATCTAGAGCAAACTTTTATAAGGATTGAACCATTCATTAAAACGATTGTTATGGGTAAACTATAAAAGGTAGACATATGCTCTCGCGGACTTTTTTAAAAATAATGTTAAGATGAACAATTCATCTATAGAGCATTTTTGTATAACTTTAACTATATGCTCAGCGCACGCCACGGAAGGCCTCAGAAACGATACTTTTCCCCCGTTTTTAAAACATTTTTGGTTACTGCTCCACAACTATAGGACCTAGCGTGATATTATATAGCCTATGTTACTTCTGAATAATGCAGCTTTCTAATGGTGAAAAAATTATTGCAATCGGTCTAGTAGTTTTTGAGTTTATTCATTACAAACATACAAAAATACAAAAATACAAATCTTTCCTCTTTATAATATTAGTATAGATAGTATAGATTACCCGCTGCTTAGTCCACGTGATGTAAGGAAAAATGGTGATGTGATAGAAAATCACGAAGACGCAATGTTGAACATACACACTTTCGCAATTATTATTACTTATAGGTGACAGCCACGATCGCGCACGCTGCTCTTGAAGAAGAGCCCCTCTGTGGCTCGAAAGTAGTAGAGCTTTTCACGTGACTAGCCCGCATTTTTTAGTTTATTTATTCTATTTAATTCAACACATCCTAACAGGTTACACCCAATGCGATAATGTTGTCACTTAATATAAAAACTTATAACAATAACACAGCCATACATATTATTTGCACTTAACCATTAGTTAATTTAGTATTTATGGGTTTTTATAATAACTATCATGAGGATAGTTAATAAGTATGGAGCTTGATTATTCGTCGCCGCTTTTTAAGCCTACTTCACCCAGTCCATATAAATGGTTTTCGATACAAAATCTTATGTCTCAGAGTACCGCGTTCAAATGATTAAAGTAAAAAATGCCTCTAGCAAATATCCTAACAGTTCCAACTAAAGACGATATAACCTTTCCACCTCTCCGAAGAAATTTTCCGAAAATAAACAACAAACTACAATATCACAATTTTCTTACAACGAAAATATACTTGGAAAGTTGTATGGAAACATAAGTTGTAGTACGCTTCGTATTTCTCCATCCGGCTTACATTTATCGACATTCGCATCAGTATTTCAGTGGAGAAGGTATAAAAGGGAACATCTCAGTACCGCATAAAGCATTTCAGATAAAATAGTATTAGCGAATCGTCCCTTGTGGCTATATATTCCGTCAAAATCACTTAAATTACAACCTCAGGCACTATTTTATGCCTTATCAGAAGAACTGTGGCCATTACAGAGACCTTTTTTTTTGAAAAAAATCCTGGAAAGTTATAAATGGAATTTAGACTCTGTTTCTTGGATGTTATAGTTGGATTTCCTTTGTGGGTTTGGTAGCATATGTCATAGAAATGTCTTGGTCCGTCTTGACTGGGGTGAGTTGGAGAAATTGATTTATAGGTATCGCTATGTATCATAGTTTCTAAATGCAATTACGTTGGGTCCAATGCGGATATTCTGTTAAAGTTTTTTTAAGGGTCCGTGATTGCTTCGTATGGAGTGTTAGATTCTATTTCTGAGTACGGAAGTTTATTATCCAAAGTAGCGATAAACTAAAAATAAATAACAATACTTCGCAGACTTCCAACTCCATCATAAAGCATCTAGATACTCTTTTATTGAAGAGAATATATTTAGAGCAGATCTTTGAACATATGTCTCAAGCTACTGCAATATACATAGACTACTTGAGAAGTTTTTAGGCCAAAAGAATAAGGCAAATGCAGGTAATTAAGCAGTCAATGACCTCGAATTGACCTGCAGGCCCACAAGCCGAGGTCGACCCCAAATGAAAAGGGATACAGATTAAGAAAGAAAGAGGGAATATTAAACGACTCTAATGAAACTAAAGAAATTACGTGACGAACTAGTACTATGAGTAAAAGAAGTAATGATTTTGGTAATAGATAATATCATTATGAAGGTAAACGGATAACTTACATAACATTACGCCTTTTTATTCCCGAAGGGGTAGGCAGAAGTGTTCATTACGCCAGTTAATGCCACTGTACAATGTAACACCCACTTTTTACGATTTATGTAATGAGTAGGGAATAGGGAGTGAGCCTATTGCCTTATACCGGGCACAATTCCAGACTCCGAGAAATTTTTAAAACACCTGGTACTACTTTGCTCGACCCAGGAATCGAACCAGAGACCCCTTTCCCAACTGTCGCACTCGCGACCACTCGGCCGACGAAGCAGTAAAAGTATAACAAGAACTGAATATTCTAATAACAATTTGTAAATCACACAAAGAGTTGCACCGTGCGGGAATCGAACCCGCTATACATGGCGCGGCAGTCGGTTGCTCAGCCACCGCACTAACCGAAATACAAATACAATAATAAATAATAAAATGCAAATAAATGTGACTTTTACAAAGTCTTATTGGATTGACAAATTATCAATCACTCATCGATAACCTCTCTTTTATCATTATAGAGGTATTTACCAATTTTACCTAAAATCTTCAGTTACCTTACCTTAATTTTTTCAGTTTTTTTGTGTCATTCGTCCTCACCGGGAGCGGTGGTAGGATCCCTGTAGAAAGTGATAAGAGACCTTCTCGAGATCAATTATACTTAAGGGAGTGATACGTCAGCCGAAAAACTTACCGTGGTATAAGAAAAATAAGTTTACGATTCGTCTTTTTTGTTCACAAAAATTCAACAGGGAATTCAAGTTTTGATTTTATTTCTTTACATTTTTTTGTTGTTGGTTATTGTGATGTAGGTCATCATTTTTTCACGAAGAATTCTGACAACCTAGTTAATAATTAAGCCTTTAACATAGCATAACATCACGCCTTTTAACTCCGATGGGGTAGGCAGAGGTGCACACAGAAGAAACACCCACTTTTCATTATATATGTTATGAGTCCCATGTAATAGGGGTGAGCCTATTGCCATATACCAGGCACATTTCCAGACTCCGTGCTACTACTGAATTTTTTTTTTAAACCAACCATGAAAACACACTGAAGTCTGGCGCGTTCCAGGTTCATGAATAACTGTCTTGGTTCTAGTCATACTGAAATAATTATTGTATAAACTACATTTTTAAAAACCGCCTCCAATAACCTCTTTTTTGAGGTCGGTTTGTTAATATACTACACTCTTTTCCTAAGTGGAACAAACACTTTTCTCAAAATCGGTTCAGCCAATCACTAGATAATCGGGCACAAACATACATACATACATGAAGGTCGCCTTCCACAGCGTACGTCAGTTCCATTGCACCCTAATACAGTATGAGTACACAAGAGATTAATGTATCAGGCCCATGAAACTGAACAACATCATCGCATCATCAGAACTCGGGTTCATTAAAATTCTATGCAATGTTCCCATATCGATTCTGTTCAATTTCAATGCTCTGTATCACTTAGGCTCAGGACTCACAGCGCGATCTTCTCCGGCGCCTGTCGCAGTGGCGAAATGGAGGCGGAATTTACAAAACTCACGAGACCGCAGTTTTCTGCGATCCCGCAGCCCGCTGCGGTAGCAATTATCGCCTGAGCGCGAGAGATAATCGCACCGTGAGTCCTTAGCCTTAGTCCTATCAGCCTGATACTGAACGCATTTCATCAAAAAGAACCATAATATGTTCATACATGCTCAATAGTGCAACTAACAAAATAGTGTACATTTTTATCTATTTACTAAAAAACTGACCCAATTCGCAAATGTCATAATAATAATTTAGCCCCGAAAAAACGGGTCGTTCAAAAACCAACGATGTTTTTTCAAATATTCCTAGCAATTTAAATGTAAATATTTTGTATGCATAAAAATCAACAATGATTGAACTGGCGGATGAATTATATTTTCATTGTGAACTTGATTGGGAGTTTGTTTTTTGTGCAAAAGTTTAATAACTTCGATTGAGCGTAATGTTAGGTTCAATGGATTGTTGTAAATCATTTTTCAGCTACTCTATATACATTTGAAATAGGTACGTATGTACATAACATCTGAATGAGGTTGAAAATTTAACCTAAAAATTTCGCTATTTTATCATGCATTGCATACTTTTCAG